TCATAATGAAACACAATAAGTATTCAAAATAGGGTTTATAGTAGTGGGGTGCCTGCCTAGTTTTGCCGCTCGAACGAATTCAAAGTTATAGATGATAACTCAAACACGTTCTCACACTACTCGGTCCCTGAAAGAAGACGAAGATCGGGATTGAGGGTAACCGATGGGATTAGGGATAAAGAGTTGGCATAGAACATGGGAAGAGATATCTAACTGCGGTTGTACTATTTGCACTGTTTACAACTAAGCTTAACCTAGTATTGTTGACCTCTTGGGTAAGCTATATAAACAAACTCAAACCTCCCTGTTAGCATGACAGACACTTCGACCCATGTGGCGGACACTCCATCGGGTTGGGCTTTGAGGTGACTTAGGTTTGGTTTGACTCTATTGGGTCTCCATTGGAGGTGATGGACACTCCAAGGGTTCAGGACTCAGGCATTTCTAGGGTTTACATCATCCATCGGATAGTTCGAGCCAAGTGTCAGGTACTCCGATAGGACTAGGAGGTCTCGGGTTTTCTGGGTTGTTGAGTCTATAAATCAATGGACACTCTGTGAGAGGTCTCGGACTCTCCGCTAAGAAATCGGTGCTCTTGGGTTTCTAGGATATTCAATCTTATAAATCAACGGACACTACGATAAAGCCACGGATGTTCTGTTGACTCATGTCGACAACAGATAATGCTCTAAAGGGTGGTTTTCTAGAGTTTGGCAGACACTCCATCGGATTGACAGACACTCCGTCATGCTATCGATAGAACCTATGTTCTTGGGTGATCTTGAGTTTCAATCTTAGATGTGCTCATCTGTGATCTATGCATGTGCCAGATATATCTAGGATGGTTTTGGTGGCTTACTAGGCTTAAGATAGCTAGGTCTAAAGCTTGGTTTGCTAAGTGTGGCTAAAGGTTTAGGATCAAATTTAGGGATATAAAAGGATGAAAACAAAGCTTGAGATTGAGGTGAAATTCATAGCTCTAAGATTTGAGAGCTTCTGTAGCCAAAAACTCAAAGATCCAATTCTTTCATACTCTTGCTTCTTCATCCAAGAGATGGCTTGCTCATGAGCTTCCTCTTGCAATATACTAAAAAGATGGATCAAAGGACAATCCATGGAGTGCTTGAGTGATTGAGCTAGATGAAGTGCTCTTGAACTTACTCTACACATGATGGAACCACCACTAGCAAGAAATCTTCAATCTTGCATCAAGAACTATGGATTAGGCCTTTGGGAGAAAAGTCCAAGAAATAAGGGTTATCCGTCTTGAGCTCACCATGAGGGTATTGAGGAGTGAAGGAGGTCCTTGAGTTGCTGCTGATGCTTTCCTTCTTCCCCTCCCTTATTTCCTTCAATCTCTTCTTCAATCTCCCCCTCTCCAGCTCCTAGGGTTCTTGCTTGTTCTTGAGGGGGTAGAGAGAGAGAGAGTAAGTGTTGCAAGTGAGAAGATGAGTGAGAGAGAGTGGCTTTAGCTAAGAGTTATCCCATTTCGTACTAACATGTGGGTCCTATTCCCATAAGTGGCAAACAACTCATCTCCCACCTCTCTGTTGTTGCACCGTGGTTCATCGGATGGTTCGGTTGAATCCGTGGACTATCCAACAGCTCACTGTCTCTGCTAAATTGATTCAGTCCTTGAATGGTTTGGTATTGGGGCTGAGTTATCATGTCCTAGGATAATTGGCTGAGGTTGAGTTGGTGTTGATGGTGTCCATAGGATATCTCCTAATCCGCTTGCGGTCACTCTCCTTGCTTTAGGTGTAAGCCTGACCATGGCTATCCGAAGATGTTTGCGGGTTACTTTTGGTGGGTCCTCAACAACCATTCGTGTCTAGAGCACCAGGGGTCTCCATAGAAATTTGGGTGATTGCTTCTTTCGATGGTTAAAAATGACTGTCTATATTGTAACGAACTTGAGTCATTACATTCCCACCTTCCCCTTTCCCAGCTGCCATTAAAGCATTGCTCGCAGTGCTCATATAAGGAGAGCGCAGAGGACCATGTGGATTCAGTGCACGACGCGTCCCAGTCCCTGCGCCCACATCCGTGCTGCTTCTGTCGCCAATAGCAGGTCGTACGTCGTAGTGCCACTCGCTTTTGGTTACGACGACAGCGCTAAGATGGCTGTGGATTGCCACCGCCCACTGCCTAGCCACCTCCCTCGGTCCTCTCTGGCTGCCACTGGCCGCTGCACCTTCGCTGGTTAGGCGCAGCTACTGTCGGTCACCCACCAGGATCAGGCCCCCTAGGAGCCTGTTCGGCCACCTCCAGTCTACCACCAAGCGCCTAGAGCCCTCCTCGCCAGCTGGATGCAGGAGCCCGCCGTCACTGGGTGCAGGAGTATTCGAGGGTGGTCATCGCCTGATCGAACATAGATCAAGGAATCGAGGATTTTGGGTACGAGGCGTGTGGAGGGACTCACGGACATGTCCACGGAGTCATGATCGTGAGAAGGTTGATGGCAAAGGGGTTGCATGTGCGTGTGGTCTTATTGGGTCGTGTGGCCTGCCTAAGAAAGCAAAGATGGATTGATGTGGCTATGGGCTTATTTTCTTTTTTTTTTCATTCGTTCTTCCTTTCGTTCTTTTCAAATTTGATATTTAAATGTTGATCCATGATTTGTAGAGTACTACAACGCAACAACGCATAGGGTATTATCTAGTATATATAATACATGAGAGCCCAAACACAAGACTAGAGTACAATGACAATAATACCCTTAATTGTTTCCAACCATTCTAGCACTAAAACCTCATATAGCATTTGGCCTATATTCCTTGTTCCTCTCAATTTGCCACCTTGGCTGTGCACAAAGCAACAAAATGTGCTGCTTTCCGTGTTGATTTCTGGGCCAGGTGGTCCTAAGGATGCAATTGATATTTACCTACAACCATTGATTGAAGAAACTCATTGCGCTATGGGACCATGGTGTTGACACCTATGATGCATCTACAAGGACTAATTTCAAGCTTCGAGCAGCCGCGCCCTTCTTTGAATGGTTCATGACATCCCAGCATATGGAAATCTATCTGGACATAGCACTAAGGGGTGGTTGGTTTGTCCTGTTTGTCAAAATAAAACTTGTTCGTTGTGGTTATCAAAGGGTAAAAAATTTTGCTACATGGGCCATCGATGATTTCTTCCTAAAGACCATAAATGGAGAAAAGATAAAGCATCTTTGATGGTAACAAAGAGTTTCGTGATCCACCAAAGCCATTAACCGGAGCTGAGTTGCTACAACAAGTGAACAATCGAGAATGGGATAGTCTTGGCAAAGATCCTAGTAGGAAGACCAAGGTATCACACAGTGAAAGAGGATATAATTGGTTAAAGAAAAGCATATTTTTTTGTTTACCTTATATCAAAACACTTTTGTTACGTCATAATCTAGACGTGATGCATGTAGAAAAGAATATTTGAGAGAGTATTATTTGAACTCTTCTCAACATAATAGCAAAGACAAAATATAATGTTAACATATAGTCATCATGATTTGCAACAAATGAATCTAAAGCCACATCTGCATCCTATTGAAGATGGTGGCAAGACTGATTTGCCAGCAGCACCTTATATTCTTCCTCCAGAAAAGAAGTCAACATTATTACAGTTCAAAGAATTGAAAGTTCTAGATAGTTTTTAATTTCTTCTAATCTTAGTCGATGTGTTAATTTGAAGGAGCAAAGCTTTCTGGTTTAATCATATACTTACTTTTGCATTACGAGGACTTTTACCAAACAAGTATTTATGAACATCTAGTTGAGCTTTCCCAATTCTTCTGCATATATTGAACTCCAAAGCATTATCAGCTGAACAGTTGAAGCAACTTGACTCTCAAATAGCAAGAACATTATGTAAACTTGAAATGGAGTTTCCTCCTTTTTTTGATCCAACGGTGCAGTTGCCTGTCCATTTAGGCTATTGAGGCTTTGATTGGTGGACCTACAGTATATCGTTCTATGTATCAATTTGAGAGACAAATAAAATTTCTAAAATCTCTAATTCGCCACTTGGCTCACCCAGAGGGTTCCATAGTATAGGGCTACATTGCATGTGAATTTATAAACTGGAGTTCGAGGTACTTGGATGATGTAGAGACAATGCACAATCGTGATGGATGAATCAATGATACATCAGCCCAAGAAAACTTCTATTTATCAATATTCTTTTCTACTGGATGACCACTTTATGCTCACAAAACACGGGATCTTTATATGCTTGAGTTACAACAGGCTCATATTTATGTACTCAGGAATTGTGATGAGGTCCAACCATTTATAAGGTATTGTTTTTGCCATGGCATTCTTATTCTAACATACTCTTTTCTATTCACACCTACTCTTATTTTTTTATATATGTTGATGAATTGCAGTGAGTACAACAACAGTCTAGGCTCTGTGTTGCAGCCATTTACGTCCAGCTGGAATGAAAATTTATTATATACATCAGCAAGACACATCATCCACTAACATGCATTTAATTGTCCACGTTAACATGGCACACCATCCATTAATATTAAAATAGATTATTTCTTTATACAAGTAATTATATGTAGTTGAATTTCATTCCAAATAAACCATAATTCCTGCAGCAATGTGTAAGGTATCCATGCTTATAGTATCTTATTATAATCCTAAACCCCACTAGCATATTTCTGTCTTGACATGTAAACTTAGTTCGTTGATATATGCATTAATATCCAGCAATTAATGTTAATTTATAATAGTTTATCATTCATATAAGTACTCTTTTTTTTTTGCAAAGTCATATAAGTACTTATATGTTGTTTAACTTCATTACAAATCATCTGCAATTCACGTGGCAAGCCACCAAGCCACCCGACTATGCTTCTGGTAAATAATAACAAGATATACATATGCAAAGAGACGCGGAACCAAAGTGCCTGGGTGTCACAGTCACTGCACTCGTCGGAATGGTATATTTATTCTCACAACCAACATGCAGTGCATGCATGCGTTACGTACGTGACGTCCCCTCAAGCCTCAAGCTACTCCCTTGAGCTTGGCAATGAAGTCATGCATGTTACGGTAGCTCGTGCCGCCCTCCGCGACGGCCTTTGCAGCCTCCTTGCGGGCCACCGCCACGCTCGCCCTCAACTTCTCGTCGGCCATAACCTCCTTCACCTTGTCGGCGATGTCCTGCCCGGTCACCAGCGTGTCCTCCCCGTCCCAGCTCCAGTGCTCCGCCCACGCCCCGATGCCCGCGCTCACCGCCGCCATCGCGTTCACGCGGTGGTCGCCGAGCTGCGGCCACACCAGCAGCGGCACACCTGCGGACGACGCCTCAAGCGCCGAGTTCCACCCGCCGTGGCTCACAAACATGCCCACGGCCGGGTGCTTCAGGAGGGCCTCCTGCTCCACCCACCCCTTGGTCACGGTGCCGCGCCCTTTCACACGCTCAAGGTACCCGTCACCGAGCACCTCCGCAAGCTCGGCGTCGTCCTCCCGGTCCACCTTCGTGGTCTTGAGCACCCACAGGAAAGGGTAGCCGCAGGCCTCCAGGTCGGCGGCGATCTCCCGGATCTGATCCAGCCTGGCGGCGCTGCGGTTGCCGAAAGCCACGTACACCACTGATCGCGCTCGCTGCTGACCTAGCCATTCGTCAAGCAAGGCGTCACCTGCTCCTCCTGCTTTGTCGCCGGCTTTCGTGGCGTGCGACTTGAGTGGGCCGATGGTGTACACCGGAGGGTACCCGGGAACGATCTTGCCGCCTCTCAGGGCGGTGAGCGGCGCCGGTTCCACAGCGTCGAACGTGTTGACGAGGACGCCGTCGGCTCTGACCATCTCGCGGCCGTTGTCGATGAACTGCTTCGTGAAGAGCTTGTTGACGTCGAGGAGCGCCGGCGGGAGGGCGGACCGCGGGACGCGGAACACACCGGGGATGTCGACATCACCGACCACGCCCGGCGCCGGCCCACCCTTGAGCTGCTCGAGATAGCCGGGGTAGTAGGCGTTCAGCGAGAGCATGGTGGCGGCTGTGGGGAAGAGGACGTGGCACGGGACGTCCAGCTCCTTGGCGATGGGGATGACACAGGAGGTCAGGGTGATGTCGGTGATGATGGCTGTGATGCGCGGCGCGGCGTTGGTGATGATGGGGCGGAGGAGGTGGACGGAGCGGCGCAGGGCCTCCCACCGGAGGAAGAACGGGTCCTCGCTAGTGAATTCGGAGGCGTCCAGCGGCAAGAGGTGCATGTCGACCCGGCGGACGCCGGGGTAGTCCGCGAAGAGGCCGTTGAAGTAGTCCATCTCGGCGGCCGACACGGTGGGCAGGACGGTCACCACGGAGACGTCGATGCCCCGGCTCGAGAAGCCTGCGATGACGCGGAACACGGGGGTCAGGTGGCCTATGCCGGCGCTCGGGATGAATAGGACGTGCGGCGCGTCGTAGGCGCCGCCGTCTAGCTCTCCTGGGCTCTGCATTGCCGGCGGCGGGGCCATGGTCGTCTGAAGCTTGGAGTCGCGCGCGCGCGGTTGTTGAGTGACGACTGACGAGAGGAGAGTGTGTGGTTATCGATAGCACGCAGAGGAGTGTGTGTGCTCCCCGCATCTACTCCTCTCCTTTTATATAATTACGACACCTTAATTAATTTGTTGGATATATAATTCCACGTGATACAGGCATAGACACCGAAGAATATTAATTATGACTCCTGATTACGACTTCCCCTGGACGTTCGAACGTTCGATCAAGTGGGACAAAGGTGATTAATATGCGAAAATGAAAGTGGTAGTTGCTAACACGACCAGCCATTGGTTAGTGCAACTTCCTAGTTCCTACCACAAATGACAGTTAAAAATAGCATTTTGATGAAAACATAAATGGTAAATCTCTTGATTTAGCCGTCATGTAAAATAGAAAAGACCCTCAAAAAGATGAGTGCTACAGCAGCCTGGCTAAATATGGTCCTTTTGTATACTTAAATGGGCCACATCATCCTGATGGTTGGTCCTTGGCCGCTCGCAATATACGCGTGCAAAGTCACAACGCACGACTACGCCGCTAGGTCTGCTCGCAAAGTCACAATGCACAGCTACCCCTTGGCAGCGCACCACTTGGTACGGTCCTCCCTACCTGGTCGCTCGGTGCGATGGCGGTGCCGAGCAGTAGTCGACGACGGCGAGCACTTCATGCGTTCAGGATTTGTCAGGTCAACCCATCGTGTGTTTCTGATCACACCTGCCTCAGCTTTGCCCTAGAGTCGTAGGTGTGTAATGGATTCTGAAGCTGAGTTCAATCTACTGAATGAAGTGGTGGATTCATCATTTTTGGATGACGATGATGAATTATATATTGCTGCTGCCCACATAGTAGCAACGGATATTGGCAATGAACCACGTCATCATGGTTCCGTTGAGGGACATCGTGTATTAAATCGTGACAGACAGTCAGGGCACTTGAGACTTTATCAAGACTATTTTTCAGATGATCCTACGTATGAGCCAAACTATTTTAGGCGCAGGTTTGTACGTACCCCATATTTCTTTTCAATTATACCTTGTATATGCGTTCGATTTTCGCCTAATAAATTTATCTTCTTGCATAGATTTTGAATGAGGCGTCATGTGTTTGTCCGTATAATGAATGCTGTCGAGGAGCATGACAACTATTTTGTGCAAAAGAGGAATACAGCTGGTACCCCAGGACTCTTATTTGCAGAAGGTTGTGGTGGCATTTCAGATGATAGCTTATGGAGTAGCGGCTGATGCTACGGATGAGTATGTTCGCATTGGTGAGAGTACTGCTCTAGAGAGTTTGAGAAGGTTTGTCAGAGCTGTTGTTCAAATATTTGGGCATGAGTACATGAGAATGCCTAATGAACATGATACAGCTAGATTGCTTGAAATTGGTGAGAGAAGAGGTTTTCCATGTATGCTTGGTTCCATAGATTGCATGCATTGGACTTGAAAAAATTGCCCCGTTGCATGGCAGGGTATGTACGTGGGGCACAAAAAGGATCCTACAATTATACTAGAAGCGGTTGCTTCTAAAGATCTTTCGATTTGACTTGCTTTTTTTGGATGCCAGGCTCGCATAATGATATCAATGTTCTCCAAAGATCTCCTGTTTCTGCAAGGCTTGCTGAAGGTGCAGGTCCACAGGTTAATTATAGCATTAATAGAAACAATTATACATTGGGTTATTTTCTCGCAGATGGCATATATCCATATTGGGCCACTTTCGTGAAGACCATACCAGAACCTCAAGGTAACAAGAAGAAATATTTTGCTAAGGCACAAAAAGCGTGTAGAAAGGATGTTGAAAGAGCGTTTGGGGTCCTACAAGCTCACTTTGCTATCGTTCAAAGACCAGCTCGTTTGTGGGATGAGGACACGCTTGGAGAAATCATGAACGCTTATATCATTATGCACAACATGATTGTTGAGGATGAGGGGGATGACGAAGATGATTTCAATTATGACGACATGGGAGAAAAGGTGACAGTATCCCATGATAGTACCCCTGAGCTCGATGTCTTGTTGATATGAAAATAATCATATATTCTTTTCCAATAAGTCACGACGTGATTGATCAACTCCGTGCACGCGATCCAAACTCACATTTAGCCATGGTGAGACCAACAATTCGTCCTCCTCTTTACTGAAATTCTTGGACCTTTTCTGACTCCCTTTCACACTTGCTACGGCCTCGTCACATGCTGGTGTTTCATTAGGAGTTGGGACATTATCAGACAAAGCAATAGGATTACAACCCCTTGTAATTATGTCAGTAAAAGATCTTTCTGAATCCATGGCGCCTGTGAAAAAATACCACAGGAACAATCAAGATCATAGACTGAAATATGATTTCAACAAGGAGGTAAAACTGAAGCATTCTAGATGTGGTATAGAAAAAATTAAAGAACTATTTGCTGCATAGGAAGATGACTAAATTCAATGGGCTGCAGAGCTAGAGAGTTTCAACTGAAAAAAATGAAGAATAAAAATCTACTATTGATAGCAAATTAGACTGACACTTGAACAAGTTTCAGAAAACTCTGACCTCAACTCATTATATGCACAGTTCTACAATTGGATGATCACAGGGAAGAGGCTAACATACTATTCACAGAAAAAATTTACTAAACTTACTGAAATACACAAACTCTAGTTCAATAAATAAATTTGTAATATGCACAATCACTCCCTTCACTTTACTGCAACTAGTCAAACTATACTATCTGAAAGTAGCAAGAATGCTTTCATGATTCAGAGCTCACCAAATCTGAGTTATTTACAGACCATAATTGCCAAGAATGCTTTCATTCACAAGTACTCGCAATAGATACCTATTCACAAATTGCATCTGAGCTCACAAGTACATTTTGAGTTGGCTTGATTATTAAAAAACAAAAAAATTGGATCTAGCTATTTGGATCTCATCGGAATACATGCCAAACAAGGGGGCTGATGCAGTTGGGGCAGCATTGGGAAGAAGAACTCCACGATGCAGCCTAGGTACCCCTTCACTTTGCAACCAAGGCAACGACGAGAACTGCTGTTGCTCCCAACCGCTGGCCGGCGAGAAGATGGGAATGAGTGGAGCTCAGAAGAATTGGGGTCCCCGTGGCCGTGGCTCACGAACATCAGATCCCCTTCTGATTGTGTGTGCGACATGGTGCCTCGACACGATTCTGAGGACCTTGAAGGGATCTGTGTCGTGGAGAGAGGAACACGTAGGTGCCAAGAAGAAGCAGCGCAGGATGGGAAGAAAGAGAAGCATGACAAGGGGAGCATGCGGGAGCGGAGAGGTGCGCGGAGGAAATCGAGCGCGGGAGAGGCGAAGCCCACACGCGGGAATCCATTGGCGCCGACGGATAGCAAGCGATTCTGGCTCGGGAAAGTTGGCCAGCGACAACTGCGGGATGACCAGCGGTGAAAAATAGAAGACATGATAGAAAGGCTGTTGGACACTTTTTTGGCCGCAATAGCTACAATAGCATTCACGGATGCATTTATCCCATCTGTAGGACACTACGCCAGATTTGCACATCACTGCCGGCATCATCACTGCCAGATTTATGAGAACCGGCAGTGATGTGCCTTCACAGCCGGTTATGAGCTTGAAAATGAAAAAAATGATTGGTGCTGGGCTAAAACCGGCAGTGAAGGACCACATCAACCGGCAGTGTTTTGACGGGCACTCATCACTGCCGGTTTAAGCCAAGAGCCGACAGTGATTTGGCTCTATCACTGTTGGTTCTAGCCAAGAACCGATGGTGATAAGCCTACAGCACAAAAAGGCTACTGCCGTCCTCTCCTTCCTCCTCTCTTCTATCCCGAGAACAGAGGCGCACGTTTGGACCCTTCCCTCCATTGTTGCGGCTGCTCTTCACCATAAAGCTAGTGCTTGGATTTTGAAGAATGGCTTGATCTTTTTGCTTTAAGGTTAGTAACAAACATCCACTCCTTTTATTTTGTTGCTTAATTAGCTTCGTTTTGATGGCTATATTGCTTGATTCTCATTCTAGTTCTTTCTCCATTCTAGAGATTACTTTTCCAATTGGACATTTGTGCAAGGCTCAAATTGTGGTGAATCCATCATCTAAAAGGTTGGTGTCTATGAACACATTTAAATTTCTAGCTAATTATTCCATGGTGGTCAAGATCATCATTGTTAGTATGTGATGCTATAATTAGTTCTTAGAAGTAGAGTATAATAGTTGTTCTTCAATATTGTGCAATAATTGTTTTTTACTACGATTTTCAATTTACAGGGCCGGGGCTACCAATTTCAATCTTTCAATAATTAGTGTACAATAATGTTTTCCAAAAATGATACTTTCAAGCTACAATTATTGTTCATGAAGCTCGATTTCTTATTAATTCTTTCTATTTATTGTCTCAGTATTTTTTTGTGCAGAGATGGATTGAGAGTGGATGCATCTGTCCCGAACGGACAAGCGGTACATGCATGGCGTCAGCCAGTTTATCACCGATGCCAAAGCCCATGCTGGAAATGGGAACCCTGTCTTCTACCCATACAAAGATTGCAAGAATCATAGAAACTTTCGTCAAATTGAGTCTATACGATCGCACTTGATTACCAGGGGTTTCATGCCAAACTATACCATATGGACTATACATGGCGAGGTTGGTGTGAATGTTCTACAGGAAAACGATGATGATGTGGACATGCCTGACGTAGCCATCCACGATGCTGACGAGGAACCCGATGTCAACACGGAACCTATGGCCACAATTAATAATGTGTTTAGGAACATACTTGCTGACAACACTGAGGATAACGATGGCATTTCTTAGCTGCTACGTAATGTAGAGACCGGATGTCTTAGTGAAAGACAGCTGAGAAAGCTAGAGAAAATAAGACAAGATGGCAAAACACCATTGTATAGGAATTGGCCAATGAGCAAACTGAAAGTCGATATCATGCTGTTAGAGTTCAAATCGACAAACGGATTGAGTGATAAAAGCTTTGA